CCCATTTGAGGCAGCTCTGCCCCGGACGCGCCGCGGCTCCTCCGGTCTTGCAGACGTTCGGTGCTGGACTCGGCCACGCCTAACTTGGCCCAGATGCCACCCGGGCCCCGGATCCCCAAATGCTCAGGCTGCTGAAGACACCCAGGTCCAGAGCGGAGCGTGTGCGAAGACGCCGGCTCCAGGACACACGTGGAAGCCGGCTCCGGTGGCAGGAGAAAGTCCAGGATCGCGGTGAGGAGGCGGCGGGGCCCCGGCTCCTGGGCTGCAGTCCCGGCTCTGGGCGGGCTTGTGGGAGCGTTCCTCTCGGAGACACCCTCCTCTCCTACCTGCCCAGTCTCTCAGGAGGCCTGTGGGACACCCCACCCCAACCCTCCCCTTCTCGGCCTTCGCGAGTGTGGACGTCCCCGGGCACTGGCGAGTCCCTCCAGGTGAGCAGTGAATGTCCCCTCTGCAAATACGTGTGATGGGGGTAGGGATGGGGTTGTTCATCTAAGAGGGCGGGTTGGAGGGAGGGGCTGGGGGCTCCACGAGGGCGGGAACTTCTGGAAAGAGATGAGAACTTTCCGGGACTCCAAAGAGGCGGATTCTCTTGCTGCTCTAGCAGGAGTCCGTCTCTCTCTCTCTTAGAGCCGTCGGACTGGAGTGGAGGCCATAATCTCGGGGAGGGGAGGGGGAAGGGACCCCTTATGGGTTCCGGAGATCAGACTCAAGGGAGACGTGGATGACCTGGAGGGGTTGCTTCAGTTTGTGATAAACGGGGGCATATTTTCAACGTCTGGTAATTGGTGACCTGGTGAGGTTGCCGAGTACCTAAAATCGGTGTCAGCGGCATGTAACCGCCTTTTACAGTCTGGAGTATCTAACTCTTCTATGATGAATCCGGGAAAACAATGGCTAGTTTGGGAAGGAAGAAAACTCTTAAGGAAACGTCCAGAGCCTGCATATATTCCTGCCGGAGATTCCTAGCGCCCAGTTTGGGGGTTGGGGTGGGGAATGAGCAGGGTTGGGGTGGTGGGTTTCTGGAGCCGCTCCCGCAGAGCTCTGCTTTCCACATTCGCAATCAGTTAGGAGCCACCGGAGACCCACGGTCCAAGGCAGTGTTCGAACGTGGGAGTTCTGAAAGTCTGGCATCGCCCAATCAGACTCCTCCCTCCACCTAGTCACTCTTTGGGAGGCCCTCACCTCAGAGCAGGTGTTTGAGATTTTGTTTCCAAATTGAGTCAACATCCGTGGGAAACTGACGCGAGGCAGGGAGAAGCGCAGGGAACCCTGGTTAGAGTGCGTTTCAGGGGCGCTTGGAAACGCCGCGGGGAGCTAGGAGGCAGCGGGGATGGCGCAGCCTGGGACAGACAGCAGCTCCCGGCAGGAAGCCGCGGGTTGCTGCCAGGCCTCTTTCACCAGGCGGGTCGGAGATGGGCCCCGCAGCTTTCCATCCAATCTCACGTGAAGCGACAGTCAAGGCAGTAGGAGTTTTACGAAGAAACCGAACGTTTTAAAAGCCTGTCCATTTCTGACGCTTCGGCTTCAGTTAATTTGCACTGAGTAAACGAAGTAGCCACGGGTTCTGGCTGCGGACTCCAAGCGTATGCGGGCTCAGGACCTACACGCGGGGCACAATTCCCTCCTCTTGGGGTCGCTGGTCCTGGAGGCGCTGAGACCGTGAAGGCAAAGGTCGGGGACACGCGCGGCCCGCTTGCTCCCTGGCCACTATCGTGGTCGTGGACACCTCTCAGCCCTACCCTAGAGTCTGACTTTGGCTCTAGAGGCCAGCTTCTTCTCCCCCCCCCCCCCCCCCACCCCCCCTCT